GCATGGGCAGGATAATGCGTACATTTCTTACCAAGCATTGCAGCCTCCTCCTTTGTTTACCCTTCCCATCCCTTCCCAGCCTCCCCCCTCCCCCCTGCTCTTTCATTTTTAATAGATACTAAGTTTCCTTTCCCTGGTGATATCAGTCTTGCTAAAAGTTTAGATTCAGATTGATTAATCTTTCCAGTCCCAGTTTGCTTGTGACTAGTGGCTTTGGTGGCTCAATCCAGTTGGTTCTTCCCACTCCTTCCCTTTCCTCTACTTTCTTCTTCTTTCCTTTGGTCTTTTTCTTTTCTTTTCCTTCTCTTTCCCACTCCTTCCAATTTTTGAGACAGACAATCCTCCTGTCTCAGCTTTCTGAGTGCTGGGGCTACAGATATGCATTGCCATGACCGACAGATTGCTGCTTTCCTGCAGTAGTCTAGGTGACTTCATGTGTCAGCATCCACAGCCTGTGAAGTTTTCATGCTGTGGGTGTGGTAGTGTTCTGAAGAAGTCAAAGTGGTGGTGCTGTTTTGTCCACCTGTGGGAATGTGTTCTCTCTAATCCTATATCCCCACAGAATTAGGGTTAGACCTTATCCTAGTCACTTAACTCATGATGGTCTTCTTTTCCCTACTACAAGCTCCTGCCTTGGCCCAGCTAATCTTTTCCTTGAGCCATCATCCTCTTCCTGGAGAAGCATGGAGGACTTAGCTTCCGGGCTCTTCCTAACCTAATTTGTGGCTCCTTGCCTCCTGGAATTTACCCTCTTTGCATGCCCACCCCTCCAGCCTCAGCCTGTGCCCCTCCTACCTTGTTCTCTAGCTCCTGATGCCTTTCATGCTGCTGGGAACATGTATTCCCTTCCTCCTGGGCCCTTTTCTCTCCTGCCATCTCAACAGTCAGCTCAGGTGATACCTCTTCAGGAATATAATAATGCTCTTTGCTTTGCATTCTTATACTTTGAGAAAGTATGAGATACCTATCTTGGTTCTCACCAGACTTTGAACTTGGTATTTGTTCACTGTCTCTTTAAATTAGTTTCTTGATAGTCTCAAAATCTGGAGCTCATAAATCTTAGCTGAACCCATTATACTCTGTAGCCTTCCTGCAAAAATATGGTGTTAAGTGGTAGATTTTAAGAAGGGAGGGAAAGATGTCAGTACCAAGCTCTTGTGCCTTCCCACAGCAAGTCTTCCCACATGTGTCTCTTGCCTTTACCTTTCCTACTTCTCCAGACTCCTCTCTCAGCTTCCTGCAGGAAGCTTTCCCTGACCATACCTCCCTAAGTAGGATGTCTCAAAAGCTGCTATGTCTTGGGGATCCATATGGCATCTTTTTGTTCAGGGACTGGTTCTGAGTTCCCAATCCAGTCTTGGTACTCAGTCTGTAGATGTCAGCCTCAGCTCTGATAATGCTTACAATCTAGTTGGGTATGTAGGAACACAGAATAGGGTCCATTATATGTGATACAAATAGATGTCTATAGGTCTGAGTTTCTCTCAGTCCAAGAGAGGGACAGCAGGGTGCAGAATTCAACCCCAAAGGAGGGGCAGGATCTGGATGCTGGAGAGCAGCTGAATAAGTGACCCCCTTGATCTCCAGGGCCCATTTGTTCCAGGATCCTTGGTCCCTGTAGGAATGCATTTTTTTCCCAGGCCTTGCAGCCCTGCTAACAGGCCCTTCAGAGCTGCTCTCAGAGGAGCTAAGAGCTGGCCTGGTTTAGGTGGTCAGGTTTCACAACCTCCTCATTATTTGTGGGGCAATTAAGGGGCTGATACCATCTTGAACACAGTTTAGTATTTTAGAAATGAGTTATGGGCATGCTTTCTCAACAACCAGAAAAACAAAATAAAACTCAGAGCCCTGACAGAGCAACTCAGTTGCTTGAGTAATTAATACTGCACTACCACCTTCAGAAGTAACAATTTGTAAAACTTCTAGGATTTTAGGCCTCCACATTACACTGGCTCTTCTGCTTTTTGGTAGTGAAATGGTTTTGTTTGTGATGAGTAAACTTTAACCATACCAGTTACTAGGGGTGAGGTTTCCAACTTCCTCTGTCTTGCTGGTGGAGAAGCCTATATTAATGAAACAAGGAGTCACACAGATTTCTGTTTAGTGGCTTTTCCTGCAATGGGGAGGAAGGGACATTTATTGCTTTCTTACCTGAATGAGGTACCACATTCCCTGGCCTATTAATATTTGCCACACAATTACTACTCCCCTCAAAAAAAAAGGCAGCACTTAAGGGATTCTGGATTCTGGCATCATCTTTACAATGAAGTACAGATTTCCCATTTAAGGCAAATACTTCATCTCAAAAGGTAGGAAGGAATAGGGTGGTACTTGGAAAAAAAGAAGTTCCAGCTGGTTAAAATTTAGGTCCCTGATAAAAGTCCAATCCAAGAATTCTCCTTGGCTGTGGGCCCAGGCATGTTTATTTGATTCAGAATTGGATGTGTTTTCATTCACTTGCAGCTCAAGGCCGTGTCTGGTCTGCCTGTCCTGTGGCTGTGTCGACCATGTTACACATGCTCTTGTGTGTCCATTCTAGAAATCTTAGTTACAAATTGTTCAGCCCTGGGTTGACATTTTTCTTCAGAGATGTTTTCAGAAGAAGTACAATGCTTTTTTTCCAGCTTCTTTTGCTTAGTTTATTGGAAACCCTCTTGGCCATATCAATCTTTTCTGAGTAGCATTCCTTCTCCCCAACTCCATCCATCTATCCCTGAGTCCCTGAGGTGCTTAGATATTGTACTAGTTATTAACTCACAATTTGTTAGTTGTTTGAATGAGATCATTGTAATACCTTTTTTCCTTTCAAAAGTGATTTCTCAAAATGATGTCCAGAATTGCCTTGGGAGCTTGCTAGAATATAGATTCAAAGCTAATGAGATCAGAATGAGATGGAGATAAAGCCCGGGAATTGGCATATTAACAAGTTCCTGTGAGGATTCTGAATCTGTCTTAATGCTGAGACCTATTGCTTTAATAGGAGACAAGGCTTCCACAAGCAGGTGAGGAGAAAACACATCCTAAATACTTAAAATCCACCAGAGTTTGGATTTAAATGATTTCACCAAACTTAGGAATGCAGACTTTGTCAGAGCTCTAGCTAATAAAAGTGTCAGACTGGCTGGCAGTTAAAGGGGGGACCCTGGAGAGCCATTTAGACAGGGTATCCTGGCTTGGGTGGAGGCCTGGGACTGGAGAGCAGGCAGCCTGACACATCAACTGGGTTTCTCCCGAGGTCAGCTGGTTTGTCTGAAAAACTGCCTCAGGAAGAAGTAAGGACAGGATCCAAATC